TTTTTTTTTTTTTTTCCCCTGAGCTGTGGAAGCCACTCTCCAGTGGAGCCTCGACTCCTTCCCATCTCCATCGTCGTCCAGCCGCCACTTACTAGACCTGCCTTCCTTCTTCGCTTCCATCATCCCCGAATCACCAGACTGTCGCTCATCGTCCACACCCGACCGTCCTCTCGGTCACCCGACCTCTCCTTCTTCTCCAAGCCATAGCTGCCCAATCCAGCGCGAACACAGGATTCATTCAGAGCGCCAGAAGAGGAGAGTCGCAGAAAACGGGAGTCCGTGTGAGATTTCAAGGGGCAAACCCATAGCCATTGCCTCTCTAAGCAAAGGAAGCAATCAAGAGTCCTGTTAAACCTGGGAGGTGTTGCTTCAGGTATTCTCATCCTGTTTCTCATCTAATTTCTGTGGAGTTTATGAATTGGAGCTAAATAATGTGGTTTGGTTCCTTGCCATATTAATATCTTATTGAGGATTGCGAGTATTATTCATCCCTGGTTTGAATTTTGAGTTTTCGTTTTGATCATTATACTATATTTTTATGTGGTTTTGTGGCGTTTGATTGTGGATTGAAGTGCTCTTAGTAGACTCCCTTTCAGTTGCAAATTTGAAGATCCTATTTGTATCTAGAAATTTTGGTGAATTTAGCCTAAAAAAAATTGGTTGCATAACATGTTCTAGATTTGTGTTCAATTGTTTTTCATGGTTTTTGTTTGCGCTTGATGTTTATTGAGCTAAAAATGGTTTGCATGTTTGGTAGAATTGATGGACTATTAAAGAAAATTTTTCCTTTTGAACTTGAATTTTTCTGGCTACATTTCTGCTACATGCCGTGTTCTTCCTGGGTCTCCTCTTTTGAACCAAACAAGTAGAAGAAAAAAAATGATAAATGTCTTCAAAATATAAAACTTAAACATAAAAATGAAAAGACAAATTAAAAATTAATAAAAATAGAAAAAGAATTTACAATTATAAAAAATAAAATAAAATTTTTTAACAAAATTAAAGTTAAAGTATTTGTTTCAGTTGTTTTTCCTTGAGTGGTTTTTGCTTGTGTTTTGTATTTCAAAAGTATCTCCAAAGTTAAAGTATGGCAACCTTGTTTCATGGAGGCTATAGGATGCCTAAAACCTTCTCTACAGCTAACTGTACCCCTCAAACTCAGTTTAGGCTTTGTTTGGGAATGCTTTACACAAATCCTTTTCACATATCACCTTACCTAAAAATGTAAATTTATTATTCCTATTTATTTTTAATTAATGTTTTAGATGTTTTTAGTAATTTTAATTAATATTTTATATATTTTTAGGATAGTAAAAGACAGAAAAACCACAGCTAAAGCCAGGCACAGCACAACACTCTCTAATATAGCCTTAATCTCTTAAAGATCAAGGTGACCTCTCTCAAAGACCAAGGTGACCTATAACACCTCAAATTCGGGTAGGTGGCAACTCCATGACTTTGTTACCCTTTACAACCCCTTCATTGGAACCGGCATTCTCAACAATTAAACAATATATTTTATCAATCCCCAATCTCTCAAACATGTTTCTAACATTTCTCGTAATTCATAACAATTTAATTGTCAACCAAAACAAAGGGTATAAATTTTTTTATCTATTTTCCAATTTGCATCCACATAATGAGCAGTCAATGACTTATGAAATTTTCTGACAAGAAGTCCAAGTATCTGTTGTTAAACTGATCCTCTGTTTGGTGTCCTTAAACAACTTTAAAAGTTTTTTTTTTCCTCAATATAAATCTCGCAATAATCTTTAGTAATTGTTCCATGTGAAGGTAGGTTAAATTCAAGAGGCAAAGCAATTCTACCAAAGTGTATGAAACCCTTTTTCTAAACTATACTAAAAGAAACCTCATCAAGTAGAAAAAACCCTTTGTTTTTTTTCCATTAGAAAAAAAATCTTTTTGATAACCTTGCTCCAGACCCATTATAACAGGAGTAGCAATCAGCAAGAAGAATCTACGGCAGTAATGGCACATATGACACCTGTTCGCCACCGCTTCCAAACTACTATGACCACTCATATCTATTCTTCTTTCACCACCACCACCACCCCTAGAAGCAAAGTACCGATTATCTACAAAAGTCCATATATCAAAGAAGATACCCACAGTGATGCTGTGACTCTCCAAATCCTCTCATGGGGCAGAGGTGCATCAGGCCAACTAGGCGGCGGCATTGAAGAAATCAGAATGTACCCAGCCCCAGTTGGCAATATCGTTCTTCCACCTCACTCCTTTTCTCTTCCTCCAGCCCCAGGCCAACTTCTTACTCAAGAGCTAGAGACTCCACATTCCGTTGGCATTGGTTGTGGGCTGTTCCATTCTGGGTTGGTTGTGGACAGGAGACTGTGGATGTGGGGGAAGGGGGATGGTGGTCGTCTGGGTTTTGGCAATGAGAATCCTGTGTTTCTGCCCACTCTAAACACTTACTTAGATTCTGTTCACTCTATTGCTCTTGGTGGCCTCCATTCTGTGGCACTTACCTCGCTTGGACAGGTGCTCACTTGGTTAGTGTTCTCCACCTACGTTATGCCAACTGTTCTATCTTTTTGTATGTGCTTGCTCTTGCCTCAAGGGTAATATGATAGGATTAATGGAATCGTATCTCTAGCATCTGCAATGCATGGGAAATGTATGATAAAATGTCTAAACAACTCTGTTCTGTTAGCATTTCATTTTAGACAGGTTAGTTGAGTAAACACAAAATAAAACTTTTGAAACTTTAATAAGCAAACTGTTATTTTACTGGAGAATGGAATACAGTAAAGAAGATTGGTAGCAACAATTTAAATCTAATTTAGGTGTTTTGTGGAATGGAAGTGCTAAATTTAACTATTGAAAAGTTCCACCAGGTTTGTTTTCTAAGATTTGAGATATTTGTTTATGGACTGATACTGGTCCCTTGGCTTGAAGTTTAGTCTGTTCAATTTTTCTAATACAAAGTTGTACTCTTGTTAATAATTGAGTTTACAGGGGCTATGGTGGTTTTGGTGCACTTGGACATTCTGTTTATCACCGAGAACTTGTCCCAAGATTAGTAGAAGGCCGTTGGGTTGGGAAAATAAAACACATTGCAACTAGTGGGACACATACTGCTGCCATCACTGAATCAGGTTTTTATTATTTTTTGTCTGTTTTTCTTTAAAGAAGATTAGGTATTATAAAAAACTTTACATGTTACACTGCAGTCCTCAATAAAGAAGGGTTTCTGTAGGTTTTCATCTTTTTCATAATCCCCATAAATGAATTGGCACTATTTGCTGAATTAGGAGAAATTTACACTTGGGGCCGAGATGAAGGGGATGGTAGATTGGGCCTTGGTCCTGAACGGGGTCCAAATGAGGGAGGTGGACTTAGCATTCCTTCCAAAGTTAAAGTATTGCCTGTTCCAGTTGCTGCAGTTTGCTGTGGTGGCTTTTTCACAATGGCATTGACTGAGGGGGGGCAACTTTGGAACTGGGGAGGTAAGCTTGCTGTTTCCTTTGTTTTTAAGTATTTAAGTTCTTTGTTGAGATAAGGTATTGTTGATTTTGCCATCATTGACAGATTGGATAATTTGGACCTTGTCTGAAAAGTCCAAAGGTAGCAAGAACAAAGGATTAAAAAAAAGAAAGGCCTAGTATTTAAACTATTTGCAACCAATATATATGCCTTCTGTATTTCAACCTTCATCTTAACAGTGTGTTTGGTTCAAGCAATGTTGCAGAAAGTGCTTGATGGTGTTAAGGTGGTGAGGTGTTTGACAACTGTTTCTACCTTTTTTTTATTACAAAAATTAAACAGAAGTTGATAAAAATTAGAGAAATAGAAAAATTACTAAAATCTATATTTTCTAATATTTTAATATATAAATACACATGGTTTAAATATTTAAATATATAAATATACGACAATTGAAATTTTGGCTAAAATTTTTCATTTTTTAAACAGAAGTAAAAGCTAAAATTTTGAATTTTAATACTAAAATCTACTTGAAAGTATAAAACTCCCCATTGCCATGTAGCGATGTTTCTATGGCGCTTTAATAAAATCTTATCCCACCACTATCTCGTTCTTTTACTCTCAGATTTCCATCTCCTTCACCTCTTTGGTTCTCTGTTTTTTCCTCCTTTGACCAAATGCTAACTCTGTTGATGATCTCATCTCCCTTCCAATCTCAATGACTTTTAAAAATAATAAGTATTCTTTTTGGTTTTTTTTTTCCCACTTCCAGTTTCCACTTTGTTTTCCTAGTTTCTTTAAATCCTTCTCCAAGTCTAGATTGAGAAACAAGTGAAATTAGATCAAAAAAATGACTCTGAGTACTAAGCTACAGCCTTCAGGTTGATCTTCACTTTCTTCTTGCCGTCAATGTGCTACCAATGCTGCTACCAATGCCTCTGATCTTCTCAAATGCATGAACATGACCGTCCTAACACTAAATGCCTAGGTGATGCTTAGGTGAGCCCTTTGCAACACTAGGTTTGAGGAAAATGGATGGGAGGCAAAAATTTTTTTCGATAAATTAAAAGGATTAGCTGTTTCCTTTATGTTTTTGATATTTTGACCAATTTAATTTGCACGTGGTCACTTGTTCCAATCTCTTTTACTCAGCGAACTCCAACTATGAGCTCGGCAGAGGTGATAAGATTGGTGGCTGGAAACCAAAACCAATTCCCAGCTTAGAAGATGTTCGTATTATCCAGATAGCAAGTGGTGGATATCATTCTCTTGCATTGACAGGTTAAGGGAGAAATAACTTTTCTTTTTCTTTTTGTCTGCATTATCAAGCATGGATCTTTTTGCATTCTTGTGGTTATATACAAGTAGTGTTGATTTATTCATGATCCATAATGTCAGATGAAGGTAAAGTACTTTCATGGGGCCATGGAGGACAAGGTCAGTTGGGTCATTCTTCTATTCAAAATCAGAAGACACCTGTAATGATTGAAGCTTTAGCTGATAAGCGCGTTGTCTACATTGCTTGTGGAGGTTCATCTTCGGCAGCTGTTACCGGTAAGACAGTGCACTCTCTATGCTAAAGTTCAACTTACTCTTACATAAGAGAGATTCAGAGGAAGCAAATTCTATTCTACAAATCCTGATAACTAGAGAAGGTAATTGGACCTAGTGATTTGAACTTAAGACCAAATCCATCATAATCATATCTGATCTAACAGATTCAATAATAAATTAATGAAGAGTAATATGACTGACTTTTTGATTAGGTTAGTTGAGAAGTTGATTAACTTGTGTCATGGTGTCCGAGCAACTGTAATAGAGTGAAATCTCTAGACTGTCATGGTGTGCCAAGAACCATACTTAGGGTTTGTTTGGTACAACAGTTAAAATTCAACAATACCAAGAGATGGTAGATAGTTGATAGTGGCTGGTGGATGATAGTAGGCAGGTAGAGGGTAGTGGGTAATGGATTTTGATTGGAAAATTGTTTGTTTATATGATGGTTGCGGTTGTTGTTTGGCATTAAATGACTAATAATTCATATTTAAACAATTGATGATTATGTTGTACTTTTCCCTTTTACATTGCTATCACTAAGGATATGCTTGGTTTGAGGGGAGAGGGGATTTTGACCAATTAGATTGCAACATGGGTGATTGGTCAAAAAAATACTCTGAAGGATTTGTTTTAGGAATATGTAATCATGAGTTAAACACTTTTTTGTCATCTTTTTTAGTAGAGAATAATTTTTTTATTTTTAAATAAAAGGCAAGAACAATCTCTTCTATTAATTACTTTGTAATCATGGGTTTGCAAAATTGGTTTAAGAAAAAAAATTATGAATAGACCCAAAAAAATAAAAGAAAATAAATTAACAAGTTAATTTCAAAATTAAAAATAAAACCTAATGCAAATGGGTAATTTTTCTGACAAAATAAAAAGAACCTAAAAACCTAGCAGTTTGGGGTAAAAAGATACCACTTTTCAATCAACTAGCAGATTGGGCTCAAACTTCTAACTGCAGATGTTAAGCTGCTAAATAGACTTTTTACCAACACCTAAGGTGTAGTGGTTTAGGGATAAAAAATTTTGCGGAGCACCTTGTTTACAAAGTTTTAAGATTCGAGCTCTGCTAGGTTAGTGTTAATCCTCATGTAATGTTGATTTTAGACTCCAACTAAAATCCAACTATTTTGACTTGGCATAGGAAAAGCCTATTCTGGTCTAACCCTGGGCCAATGAATGTCAAGGAATAGGTTTGAACGATCACACTTCTGCCTCAGGCAAAAGCAGCTCAACTTTTATTATTTGTGGATTGAAAGAAAAAAAAAAAGGGGAAAAAGAAGGAAACTTTTATTATTTGTTGTAGTTAATGGTCTCCAAGTGACTTGGTAGTTAAATATCAAGAGAAAGGGAATGAAAGGACTGTTATGAAGATCGGTTGGGAAGAGAAGTCAAAATTGCTTTCTACTTTTCATATTATTGCAGTCTATTAAAACTAATAGAGCACTTTTTCTGAATATTTGATTTTATACAGATGAAGGGAAGTTGTATATGTGGGGGAATGCAAAAGATTCTCAACTTGGAGTTCCTGGCCTGCCAGAGATACAACCACGACCTGTTGAAGTTAACTTTCTGATGGAAGACGATGAGCTAGGATCCCACAATGTGCTGTCTGTTGCTGTTGGAGCATCACATGCCATGTGTTTGGTTTTAAGGTCTAGTTAAAGAGGGTAAGAAAATTGGAAGATTTTCTTTACATACAAATTTCAGGAAATAGGAATGAGCATTTTGGAGGATGAGGCATTTTGGACGGATCTGAATACTTTGAGGCCCAACTCATTCCAGAACCTAATGATCTGGAGATAGATGTGGATCTCTGTTTCCTAGAGGTTGTTACCTCTTCCAGTTGTAAGAAATAAGGGCATAATCTGATCTTTGCTTCCAACAGGCTAGCCTATCAGGTTTGGGTTTTATTTTGAAAATTACCAATGCTCAAACCTGCTGCTACAACTGACGAGTCCTTGAGAAGGTTTTTATTTTATTTTTATTTTTATTTTTGGTTCTACAACGATTTGAATGTCTACGACTGACCTTGAGGTGGGCTTAGGCTCTCATACCGTGCAATAATGATGTTTTTTTGGGTCACTTCACTTAAATGGCATCCTTCATATGCACAAGTTTTGCCCGTACTGTCTTTTGATATATTTTTTGTGACAAATGTATAATTGATCCTTCAATGCTGTCGTGATCACTTGTGATTTGTTGCTCATATAGAAACCGGATGATATGAAGATGGTTCTTATCTTTTAACTTATGTTTTTAGTGTACAAGGTGCAATAAATATATTTTTTAATTATTAAATTATATAAAAAAAATATAAAAATAAAATTTAACATTAATTTTGACTCAAATATCATACGTATAAATTTAATTAATTAGTTTTAAGTAAAATTTTAATTTTTAATATAATTTAATAATTAAAAAATATATTTATTGTACTTTTTAAATATGAGAAAAACCATTAAACATGTAATCACAAATCAAAAAACAAAATTAAAGCATTTTTCTGTTGTGGCCTATTGGTGGCTACCGCAGCCCAAAAGAGTTGCCGGTGGAATACATCTTGATCAGTAATTGAATCTTGTCAAAAGAATAATGTATTAACTCCTAATT